TTTTATTATCCAAAATCAGAGATATAAGACAAAGAGTGCAGGCTGCTCCGAAAAGACAGGATAAGGAGAACACAAGAAAACCATACCCCAACTATTTGTTTCACTAATCTTATACCTTAGGCCTATAAACTAAATGAAATTGTGGGAACACCCAACAAGATCATTGCAATCATGACATAGATGCAAAAAAATCATAAGCATAATGACAATTCAACGAGCAATAAAGATGCACAATTCAATCATTGACTCAACATGCGATACTATCGTCCTCATTGTACCAGTGGTAACAATCCTAAGACTTATCTTCTGATTACGCAAGAAGGTGATGAGAAATAGTTCTAAAAGCATATCAAACAAGGAATGAAGATGAGAACAAAGACTTTAAAATAAGCATCAAGGAGGAGATAAATATCAATAATATATATAGTACAGAAGAAAATATCAAGATTTATAGAACAAGGGGTTTATAGCAATTTCAAATCCTTAAGACGGCGAATTTCTAACTAGGCTTGCGTCCTACAGTCAGCATTGCTCTGATACCACTCTGTAGCACCCGGTTTTAAGAACAAAACCAGATACACACCATATGTGAGCCCAGAAAATCAAATCTCACATATAGCTACAAATAAGGGTAATATCAAATGACAATGCTTAAATACAAAGCGTATTAGTATAAAGAATATAACCTCAGAGTATAGACAGCGTAAAGACAACTCCGATCTTCAGGCGAAGACTCCAAATCCACAGGGACAACTGACTGGTTGATCACAAGCCTAATTCCTCCAAACTCTAACAATCTGGTACCCATCCGGGATTTTTATCAAAATAATTGAAAATAAAACAAGCGTAAGTACATGTCGTACTCAACAAATATAACATGGGGTTCATGAGGCTCAAAAGGCTGACACTAGTTTAACTGTGATTAGCTTTTAATGAGTCATCTTTTAGCAATTGAGTAGCAACAAGTTTATCACAAGCCCATAAACACATGATCAGGTAAATATGAATAATGAATAGCATAAACAGTAATCATTAGTGGGCATATTGATCATCAGTATCATCCATGTTCATCATCATTAACCATTAGTGATCATCTGTTCCATAAATGTTCCAAGGCCGCTCGTGACCGTGAGCACGGCTGATATACCAGTTTTACACTCTGCAGAGGTTGTACACTTTCACTGTGAGTCGTGATTTACCCTTTTGCCCGAGGTGATCAGCCTCTTGACCCACTACCAAGGAAAGTCGGCAGGGTTCACTATGAAGCCTTTCAAAGGTTCGTCTAACAAGTTAGGGCCATTAGATTCACTCGGCAAACAGATGTAGGAACCCCCCTGTCGAATGGCACAATTCCATCACGCCTATACACATAAGAGTAGAGGCTATCCTATATCCGATTCGTCAAGTCATTCTTACGCCAATAAAGGTAACCACTAACAAGCTAGAAAAGGTCCTCATACTGAGCTAAAGTCAGAGCCATATAACCCTCACAGCTGTACTGTAAGTCCCGGATGATCACTTACAGATAAGTCCTTAGGGAGAGGAATATAGAGCACCATAAAATAGCCCAATGCTCTAGCCCCCTTGTTCCATGTTGCTAAAAAGCATCTTTTAAAATTTATTGCATATACCATTAGTCAAGTTACAAGATCATGGCTTTAGTTAGCACTAGCATCATACTACCCAATGCAATACCCCATAGGTATCAAGGTACAAGATATCAAATATATAGGATATCCTTATTGGCAACAAGGTAGACATATGCAGTATGAATTAAGTGATTAATGGTGTATAGGACAACAAGGAAGATCCCATACTATACTTGCCTTAAACACCGATCCTTCGGTAAGCTTTAATCTTCAATGTTCTTCTTCTTTTCTTCTTGATCACCACGTATATCTCACCGAACCGGACGAAATCATAAAGCACCACACAAGCATCCATACAATCATACATGAAGCAAACAATAGATCTATATTAGAACAGTACACCAAACATAAAATCAAGATGAAAAGTTTGTACAACGAATCTACGCCTCAATACGAACACACACGTACATGAAAAACACGCTAATCAGAGCTACAGTTGAAAAGATACAACTACCGAAAGATTTACTTTATACGCGAAAAACAAAACTATAGGCTTCATTTATTTAACTATATAAAGTCTTATTGGATTAAATCAAATTTAGATTTGAATTATAAAACTAAAGTAAAACGAATCATATTTTATTTACAAAACCCAGTTGCATAATTGTTATTTAAGATATGATTTAAACCATGAAATTCCGGTATTAGTGACATGATAAACACTGTTACTAACGCATAGATCTCGTCGCTATGAATCTAATGCAACTGGAATGGACTAAAATGGATCTAAAACGCAAAAGATATGAAATAAACAAGATTTCCTTTATTAAAATAATAGATTAAATCTAATCACGAATTTTAAAAGTTGAAAACACATCTGACAGTAGTATGAACATGTAGGTTATGAAATTACGAACCTAGCGCAAGTTGAACGGATCAAATCGGAGTTAGAACGAAGAAACGGCGGGGATCCATAATTGATTGTAAGTGGTGTATTTCTATAGTATTGTTGGATTTGTTTTTCTATAAGAAAACGGCCATAAAACATATACGTGATGTCATCAAGCTAATTGGAACAGCTAACTAGAGCAGGGCACGGAGCACGCACGGTGCACGGCATCAAGAGCTTAACCAAAAAGGATATACATGCTTACATGGGGAACCTTCGCTTCCGGATAGAAGATTACGTTGCTAAGCTTACATACTCGTCAACCTCGGCGCTTGGTAGCTTGCATTATTGACATGCATGCACGGTGCTATTTGCTTGAACGTTTGCATATGTTGCAGTAGGAAGTCAATTCAAGGGACGGAACGCAAAGCAAAGCAGGTTTGCAGGGCAGGGAAGCAGTAGGTCGGCTGCAGCCATGGCCGGCTGTTTCTGCCATAGTGCATGGATGGTTTGCTCGTGTGTGTATATAGAAGTAGGAAAAATTTTCTATATATATATATATATATATATATATATATATATATATATGCATGCATGGCGCTTGAGTTGGGAGCATGCAGGTGTACGTGCTTGCAAGGCAACGGGATAAGCAGCAGCGTATGGATGGATGAACAGCTTGCTTGGTACAGATCGACACTCGATCGAGCAAGACAAGATGAAACTTGTGGCGCTGATTCTGGCTTTCTTGGGACGGTGGATGTACGCCGGCAGATTTTTTTGCCAGGGGAGCTCGGCAAAACAGGGAACGGGGAGCTGGAGGCGCACCCATAAATATGTAGAGAAAAGGAAGCTAAGCGATGATGTTACAGGGCACGAGATACATATAGATGCGATCCAAAAACGGAACACCTGAAGGATAGGGAAGGTGGTAATATTCTCACCTCGAGTGATGGATGAACGCCGAGCGATAAATCAGGCAACGATAAGTGACCATGGTGGTGCGGCGGCTTGCACGGGGTTGCAGAAGCCTCTTGCCGGTTTCACGGAGGCGACGAGGCATGGAACTATGAAGGCAAAGAGCAATTCCGTAGATATGTTCACCATCAGTCCATCAGCCAGCGAAGAACAGCATGCTGACGTGATTGATTTGGACAAGATGATGGTGCTTCACGTAGAAGGATTCCTCCGCCCTCCTGGCCATGGATCGGTAGCTGGTGTCCCCTCCTGTGCACCTGCTTGCGGAAGCAGCTGCTAGAATCTCGACGGCAGACAAGGAAGACATCACGGCGGCAGGCAGGACGACAAGTGATGAAGAACTCGGCGGCGTAGGAGGAGCAAGACGGCAACGGCAACGGCGACGGCGACGACGACGGCGATAGCAACGGCGAGAGAAAGAGGAGAAAAATATAATTTACTATACGAGGTATTTTGCAAACTAGGGGCTCACCATATGGTAGTTTTGGTGTGTTTTGCCCAAGGGGTTGGTTGATATATATATGAAGAAAAACTCCCCACATCAACGTCAACCAGCGATATGGTATTAATTGACGTTGCACCATCCACCTGCACTAATGGGCCTAAATAATCATTAAAGCCCATTAGTAAATAAATGCATGTGCCGTTGAGATTTATTAGGATTATTGCACATGGGCTTTGAGCGTCGGAAAAAAATGAGAGATTTATTATTTTCGGAATTAATTAATTTCACGAATAAAATAATTCTAGAAAGGTCTAGAATTGATATTTAAACCATAAAAATAATCCAAGACCTCCGAAAATTTGGAAAAATTTCCCAAAGATATTATGGAACATGAGGAACCCAAATATAGTATTTGAAGCTCATAAAAATATTGTTGGAAACTTGAAACATAAAGATTAAGGTGAAGGAGGTAGGAATTAAATTTCAGAAAGAAGCTAGAAAATTCCTAGAGATAGATATCAAATCTCCTAAACGTATAAAAAAACACACATTTTGCACATAAAAACACGAGGTGTGACCGCATGAATGCAACAAACACGTTTCTACCTTATGATAAATTTTAAATTAATAAAAAAATTTATTTTCCTATGTTTTCATGTGCACAAAAAATTCACAAATAAATCATTTTAACTCTATTTTTAAAAGTGGTAAATTTTGGGGTGTTACACAAACTACAATACAGTAAAGCAAATCAAAGCTTTAATCAATCAGAAGTTGGACCATTGTATAAGCTACAGAGTGTAGCACCCAATGCTGCTGCAAGCAAGCAATAACAATTCATCAGCTAAAACAAATAAACTCATTTAAAACTAAGGCAATAGTGACTACAAATTCAGCTTGAGGGTGCCCAACATTCACCCTTGTCTCAGTGAAGACAATAATCAGAACAGATCCAGTAAAACTAACTAAAGAATGTGGAAAGGCCTCAACTTTCATTTGACTCAAGGGTGACATCACATAGCGCAAAATTTTGACTACAAATTGAGAAATTCTGACAACCAAATGCTTCACGAAATTAGACCAGGTCAATATAATGGTGAAATCAGAGGCAAAGGAGCGCCTTGCTAACAGTTTGTGACAAAAACTGCACACACAAAACAATAGGATCAGCCTATAGTGCATAAGCATATGCTAAAGTAGTGTAGGTATGAAAAGAGGAAAGCAAGCCACGGACAGAAAAAGAAAATGTTTGCATAATAGATTGGCAGATTTGGGAATGAGATAAAAGCAGACATAAAAGTTGCTTGCACAGTCCTCGTGATCAGTCTTAATGTGAACACAAAAGTGCTGATTTTTGCCCTCATTCTCACGGTGAGGAAGCCACGGTTACACATCTCTGTTTTCACATTGCACCACACGGCCTGGATACAGGACCATAGAAATAAGAAAAGTTTGTTCAAAAAATAGGAATAAGAAAGAACAGAGCATGCATAATCCTATGATTTTTTATTTCACAGCTACAACATAGGTACAACAGAGAATGAGAGGAGGAGAAATCAGTAGTAACTATGTTTCGCCGATGGCAGAACCACCAACTCGCGAGTACCACCTGCCCGATTGCTTCGGCCAGCATAGGAGGCCACTTCATGCCGAGCAGCGGATGATGGCACGCGACGTTGTGGGCTGCCGTCACAAAGATCCTAGATGCACAAACAAAATCATAGACAGTCATCAGATGGATAGAAGAGGAGAAAGAGGGTAGAGAGAGACCTGATGAATCAGTATGAGAGAGTACATCGCTGCCATCAATGAAACCCCAATCCTACAGGAGGCGTAAAATCGCGAAGGACAGGACGAAAAAGGATAAAGAACAGCTAAAATAGACAAAGAGAGAACCAAAAATCCAAATCCAGACAACCTGAAGAGGCTAGGCACAGCACCAATCGATGATGCAAAGATGGAAATTGAGGGAGCCTACCGCTCAAGAAATAAGAAGCGGAGCAGAGCCGGTGAAAAACACGACGAAGCAAAGCATCGAGCTGGGAGGCAAACCGTGCGGAAGAAGACACGCTGAAGCTGACCCTGCCGGTGGACCGCTATTGCAAGGCTTAACAAAAACGCACCGCTACGACAAGGCTTAGCCTAACAAAAATGCAAGATACCACCAATACGAAAACCCACGCGTAACTCGGAGCCGCATTCGAAAGGCCACTAGCGAATGGGCTCAGTGAGCACCAATCCTCCCGCAGACATTAGAGTTTTTTTAGGAAGCTGGAGGGGCCACAGGCCCTACAGAAATTTATTAAGGACCAGAAAAAAAAAAGCATTTAAGAGTGTTTAGTACAGACAAGCAGAGTTTATGAAACAAAAAAAATGAAGCTAAGACTTTGATCAATTAAAGACTTTGAATCCATTGCTCGAAGGGTACTGCAAGGCTTGCTTGCACCATTAGGGAGACTAGCCGAGCTTCCTTGAAGAATAAAGCTTTGCATTCTTGTATACCGACTTGATTATTGTTGAAGATGAGTTCATTCCTGGCCCTCCAGATTGTCCAGCCCATGAGAATAACAGCAACCATAAAGAATTGGGTCTGCATTTGATCATTGATGGCCATCACATTTTCAATTTTTATTATAAAATGTTAGGTAGTGTTCGACAAACACTTCAATTGATAAATGAGCACAATTCCAAAATGAACATCAGAAAGCATTGCGCTAGAACAAAAATAAATCACACTTAACACAACTATTCCTAGTTGATTTTGAGAGAAAAAAGCAGTACCTCCCTGTACTTCACACACATCGTGTCTGATCTTAGGAACAATGTTTTGGGGATAAATTAATTAAGAAACAAAGTGTTGAGGGATCATTCTTCGTTGGCCTTAATCTCCATCAACAACCAATCCTTCCTTAGATTCTTTGGCAACCTTAAAAGAGATCTGACCCGGCGGCAGTTATTGCAGCAAAGAATTCTATACACTTTTACCTCATCACGCTCCAATCCATAGCAAGATATCTCTTGAAATGCCTCAAAGACAGGGGCGGAGCTACAGGGTGGTCCCTGTGGGCCGCGGACCACCCTGTAGATTTGGCCCAAAGTCTAATATCCCTCGGTATTTTGGCCCAAAGCCTATTCGCCTGTGCTGCCGATCGAACCTGGTGGAAGACTCGAAGCGACGTCCGCAATGCAAGACCGCGACCTGCCCCTTGGTTTCTGACTCCAACCGCTCGACTCGACGGACTGCAGCGTTGCAGTTGCAGCAGCGGAGCGCCGGAGCGGCCGCCGCCCGCCGGCCAGACGTCGGAGTCAGAGGCTAGCAACGCACTTCAGTACCTGTATGTTGATCCTAATATCCTTTCTTTACCAAAGTTCTATCACGTCTCTCTTTGTATCAAGTGATTAAGCCCTAAACTGCTAAACAGGAGACAATCAACGATCTAGTGATCTGCAGTTCAACTTCAATTCACGGCACATCCCAGTTTGGAGTTCGCCACTGCCGCGGTATGCAGAAATAATTTAGTTTCTATTTCATCGCAATTTTAAAATTTTATTGTAGCACTGAAATGATTTAAATATTTAATTAAAACATTATATCATTGGACATTGGGATTATTTATTTCTCTTTCAGATTTGTAAAAAATGAAGAGTGGTGATATTGTCTCTCTTTTTTAGAAATATGAATCAAAGAAAAAGGCTTCTTCTCCATCTCCGTTCCAGAAGAACAAATTTGTAATATTTCAATTCTACGTTAAGAAAACTATGCTCATCTATTTTATGAACTCTGTATGTCCTTTTATGCGTAATCGCATTTTGTAATTCATATACTTGTGTACTGACGAGTTAAATTTATAATGGTTAAAAAAAATTTAGACAATGGACCACCATAGCTACAAATCCTAGCTACGCCACTGCTCAAAGATCTCTGATGCTTGCACAGAAGGCTCATCTAACGAAGCAGGTTCCAGCGTTGGATTGGTAGTGATGCTTGAACGTTGCCTCTTAACCCTTATTAGCTCCTCGTCACCAATGTCTGGCGGTGGCCTCTCAATGCCCTTCTTTCTTCGTCCTATCAATGTACCATAACTACCACTACTAGGATAAGAATCAAAGAAATACGATACGTTGCTGGGGATCAGATGACCATCTCGCATGCATAACAAACCATCTTCATAGCGCGAGACAGAATGTATTGTTTTGCTTCTCATGTTGACCATTAGCAGATCTACGGACCGGTCTCTATAGTTCCAATAGCCATCGACTGGGGGCTCATGCAACCAGAAGCAAATGAGGTCAGGATCGTCCATGCTCACGACGGGGTGGTCAAGTGGGAACCACCGGAGGCCCTTGTAGGAGTCGAGCCCCCAGAGCTTGATGGCATCAACCATGCCGTCCTTCACCCACCCGATGTCATCGTTGTCATTGCCGATCCTCATTGTCCAGGTGTGGATGGTGTAGGCATGGCGAGAACGTTTGCAGCCGGAGGCACCATCGCCACCACAGCAGCAATGGGGGAAGATGTTGACGAACTTGAGCGTGTCGCCATCGCCACCAGCGGTAGCGCACACGTTCCGGTTTGATGGCTGCCCGCATATGTTCTCCCTGGGGAGCAGTAGATACTGCAGCCTTGGTGTCTCCTCGAACTCGTCGCAGAGCATGACACCAAGCAGCCGTTGGTCAACCCAGCAGAGTAGCCTGTCGCCGACAGCTACGACGGCGTTCCAAAATGAAGGAAGTTCCCGAACTTTGCTGGCGTCACGAAACCTGATCTGCAGACGCCTGACGCTCCACTCACCAGCACGGAACAAGGAGAGGTCGGCCACCCTCATCAGCTCCAGCGTGGCCGGTTCCGGTCTGGCTGCTGACACCGTCAGGAGCTGTGCCACCACGAGCTCATCCTCGCCATGGCGTACGAGGCCGGTGCCATGATAAGCGAGATGGAAAGGCGGGAGCAAAGACAGTGACGGCAGCCGCGGGGGGTCCGCAGCGGCATCACCCGCATTGTAGACGAAGTGGTCTGTCATGTAGCCATGCTTTTCTTCGATGGAAACCTCGATGAGCACGGAGTCGCCGTGCGCCGCGAGGACCTCAGAATCCCTCGCGTCAAGGCCGTCAGGAATATGGAGGCAGACACATGAAACTGCTGGGGGCTCTGCGAGGCTGAGGGAGACTTGGATCTAGAGGCCGGTGCTGGTGCGGGCTGCCGCCAATGTCTTTCTGGTGTCGCCTGATGTGGAGCAAGAGGAGCCCTCAGCCTCGATCTTCATGTACTGCTCCAACATCACCCACCGCGGGTAGGTGGCGGATGACGGATCGGAGGGAGGTTTCGACGTTTGTGCTTCCATGGGCGCTGCTGCCGCCATCATCACCGCTGAAAAGTTGTGTGCCCTAGCAATTCCGACCATATGGTAGGGGAGGATCGATGCGTCAAAACTGTGGTGGGCTATACACATAGTAATAAGTAATAATGGTGGGTCCGTTTTTCCGTGTATTGCAAACGCAAACCTAATTTGTAACCGACTTGTAGTTGTTCTCTTATGGCAAAAAACAAGATGTCAAAATTTTTTTTAATGATTTTTGCTATTTATCTGTTGACACTTTTTTTTGGTACTAAATAACGTTTGATTGTGATTTAAGATTTGTGGTACAACTGTCACTTTAACGGTTTTGTAACTAAAATATGACAGATTTGACCTCATAAAATCGGTCGACGGATATCTATAGACACTCTCTTTTTCAATTTGATTAATTCGAAAAGTAATATATTTATGATGTAGAATAAGTATAATTGATTATCTATGAAATATACTTTTTATTGTAAATCTATTTGGAAATATAATATTGATAATATATTTTTGAAATTGATTGAATTTAATAAGGAATTAATTTACTCTACATTCCTTGTAAAAAGTTTAGTGGCAACACCACCACTAGTACGAAGCCGTGTTGCGCAAGTATGTTACTACGGCATGTCTAGGAATGACAAGGGACACCTAATTGTCTCCGGAAAGTAGAGAGTCATGGGAGTTGAGGGTGTGATAGTCCTGAAGACTACAACCACTATATGAAGGCTCGTGCTCTTTACCTATTAAAACACAAAAGATCAAGCTTGTCAAAGCTCACTTCAACAGGACCAAAATGATGTCGTGGGTTCGCAAGGATGGAAAGGGAAAGACTGTGGGAATTGCTAAATGATTCCATGTGTAATGAATCCAGCATTGTAATACACTATAGTGGTACTATGAGATATTCTAATTCATATTTGAATCATATTACCCCTAAGTGTTTGATTTATGTGAGATTTTATGTGTAAGAAGTGTTTGGAAAGTAATAGTTACGTGATATCTGTGTAAAAATTGTTTGATAAATAATAAGTTATGTGATATTTATGTAAAAAGGTTTTGACTAATAATGAGTTTGTGTGATATTTATCTAATTCTCAGAATGTAAGAAAACATTTTAGATAACATATATAATATATTATTTGTAACAATGTTGCAATTATCCAATATACATATTTAGTTTTAAACTTATTGAAAATATTATTGGAGGTGGTCACCTTAAGATGTCCTCCTACATAAATCCTATCCTACAAAGCACACCCACCTCAACCAAGTTTCCTTAGTCATGAGTTTTTTTTCATGTGAAAATATGCATCGGTGCACTTATGGATTCAAACCTGTGACATGTGCCCTCAGTTCCGTGGTACTGTGGCCAGGAGGTGACGCTAGGAGATTTTGCTGCTGGTAGGCTCAGGGCACCGGTGGCCATAAGGCGAGATGGGCGAGGCGACCATGACGAAATAGCACTAGGGCAGGCAGTGATATAGTCGTAGGGAGAAGGCAAGTGGTCGGCACTCACGTGGTGGCCAATGGCTCTGAGGTGGACACGGGTGACACTCGAACAACACTTAGGCAGTAGGATGTGGGCGCTCGAGCGACCGGAGGTGAGGAGACTTGGCTTTAAAGTTAAGCAGTGCAATAAACCATTCCAAATAGGGCCACAACCGAACCATGAATGTATAGCTAGATGAGTATAAAGGAGCGTATACATTTTTAAAGGAAATAGATGGAAAATTTGAAATAGATATTAACAAATTTTTGTTTTACCATGGTACACGTGCACCAGGGAAAGCTAACGTGGCTTCGCTCGTACACATGAAGCTTCCGATGGGCTCTGAGCGAAAGGGAGACATGGATTGGGTGGGGGCAGATGTGTGGCCAGCGGCCAGGTTCTTGGCATCCATTGTGAAGCAAGTTGAGTCGTCCTAGACGTTGCTCTTCATATGCTGCTCGAGCATCACCCGCCGTGGGTACAAAGTGGAGAGAGGTTGCCTCGCCATCAAGATCCCTTAACATCAGTTTTCCCATTCCCCTATGGAGGCTATTGAGGTAAAAGTTGAGACGTGCGTCATCCCAGCACTAGCTCCATTGGAAGAAGGGATTGATTGGGATTATTGCGGTAGAACCCCACAACTTTTTTGTTCATATATAAAAGAACTGTGGATCCCAACTAAAGCTCGGTAGGAAGAAGGATCAATTGATGTTTATTGCACACAACTAGTAAAACATACTCGTATTATTACGGTTTTTTATGTTTGTCAGAACTTTAGAAATGTGCGTTGATTTAAAATGAAACATACATTACTGGAAACCCAAATATTCCTATCGGTATGGGACCAACCAACAGAAAAATTATAATTATCGGTTACCATAAACCTCTCAGAGCTTTTGTATATGCTACTTAGAATTTTCTATATCCCTTATTGCTATTTGCAGAATATTAGAAATACTAGTATATGCTGCTTAGAATTTTGTATATGTCTTATGCATTATTGCAGAATAATAGAAATACTACTAGTACTTGTTTCACTGTCTTCCGTCTTTTTGAATACTTGTCACAGCTAACACTGACATTTGAAAGATGATCTCCAATGGCATAATGATCCACTGCGGGTTTTGTTTGATGAGGATGAACCCTGCTGATGCAAGTCTTCAAAGAAGCCTAGTGCAAGATAGGCTAAATCTTTTGTACATAGTGTTAGTGATATATGAATGTAGGGGTGAAACTGGTGTGGATAATTCTATGATCCACTCCGAACTGAATCCGAATTTTAAGGATACAGAGAAGAACTTTTTTAATATCCTCACGGATATGGATAATCCGAATCTGATTATGTGCAAATGCAGGATAGGATTGGAATCGGCAAAATCTGGATGTAGCACCCGGTTTTAAGAATAAAACCAGATACACACCATATGTGAGCCCAGAAAGTCAAATCTCACATATAGCTACAAATAAGGGTAATATCAAAAGACAATGCTCAATATATAACGTGCTTAATATAAATGATATAACCTTAGACAACAAACAGCGGAAAGACAACTCCGATCTTCGGGTGAAGACTCCAATCCATAGGGACAACTGACTGGTTGATCATAAGCCTAATTCCTCTAAACTCTAGCAATCTGGTACCCATCCGGGATTTTTATCCAAATATGTAAAAAATAAAATAAGCGTAAGTACATGTCATACTCAACAAATATAACATGGGGTTCATGAGGCTCAAAAGGCTGACACTGGTTTAACTGCGATTAGCTTTTAATTGTCAAAATTTTAGCAAAGGAGTAGCAACAAGTTTATCACAAGCCCATATAAACACATGATCAGGTAAACATGAATAATGAATAGAATAAACAGTAATCATTAGTGAGCATCTTTATCATTAGTATCATCCATGTTCATCATCATTAACCATTAGTGATCATCTATTCCATAAGGGTTCCAAGGCCGGTCATGACCATAAGCACGGCTGATATACAAGTTTTACACTCTGCAGAGGTTGTACACTTTTCACTATGAGTCATGATTTACCCTTTCACCCGATGTCGTGAGCCTCTTGACCCACTACCAATGAAGGTCGGCAGTGTTCACTATGAAGCATTTCAATGGTTCGTCTAACAAGTTAGGACCATTAGATTCACTCAGCAAACAGATATAGAGCCCCCCTTTCCGATGGCACAATGACGCGCAGCCTATACTTAAGGGGACAGAGGCCGCACTATACCCGATTCGTCAAGCCATTCTTACGTTAATAAAGGTAACCACTAACAAGCTAGAAAAGGTCCTCATACTGAGCTAAAGCCAGAGCCATGTAGCCCTCACAGCTTTACTGTAAGTCCCGAATGATCACTTACAGATAAGTCCTTAGGGAGAGAAATCTAGAGCATCATAAAATAGCCCAATGATCTAGCCCCCTTGTTCTATGTTGCTAAAAAGCATCTTTTAATGTTTATTGCATATTACATTAGTCAAGTTACAAGATCATGGTTGTAGTTGAACACTAGTATCATACTACCCAATGCAATACCACAAAGTTGTCAAGGTACAAGGTACAAAGTACCAGGAAATCCTTAGTAGTAGTCAAGGTAGACACATGCAGTATGAATTAAATAATTAAAGGTGTATAGGACAACAAAGATGATCACATACTATACTTGCCTTAAAACACCGATGCTTCGGTAAGCTTTAATCTTCTTCTTCTTCTTCTTCTTCTTCTTCTTCTTGATCACCACATATATCTCACCGACTGGACGTAATCATAAAGCACCACACAAGCATACATACAATCATACACGAAGCAAACAATAGAACTAAATCAGAACAGTACACCAATCATCAGTAAAAGAGTTTGAAACATGATTCTACGCATCGCTACGAACACAAAGTCGCGAGAAGCACTCTAATCGGAGCTACGGTTGGAAAGAAACGGCTACTGAAAGATTTACTTTAAAAAGAAAACTATAGGCTTCATTTGTTTTAATAATTATATAAAACATGTATAAGATATTTCAAAGAAACATCTAAATCAAATTGAGTCAAGTTTATAATTGAATTAGAAAACTAAAGTAAAATAAATCATATTTTATTTATAAACCAGATGCATAATCATTGTTTAAGTTAGAATTTAAACCATAAAAATTCCAGAGCTAGAGACATGGTAAACATTGTTACCAACGCGTAGATTATGTCGTAATGAATCTAACGCAACTTGAACGGGTCAAAACGGAGCTAAAACGTAGAAGATATGGTCCAAACAAGATGGTGGTAGTTTTGTAAATACCTAGAATTTTATTTTCAGAATAAATCAAAATCTGATTTTAATATCAGTCTAGACGGCGGGTGGAATATGCAGGAAGCTGAGGTCTCTTTAGCAAAAAGACGAGCGATGGGTATCTTCTAATCTGAAGCGTCGATCTAAAAATGAAAGGCTCAGGATGATTGGATGGATATGTGTATTTCCATTATATTTCTGGATTTGCTTTTTTTAAGAAAAACGGCCACAAAACATATACGGGATTTC